GGCCCCGCCCCGAGCACCCTGCTCCGTGTGCAGAGAGCGAGTGAGGTTACACGGGACACTGGGCCAGAGACAACGGCGCTTATTTTCAGCCTGTTGCTTGGAAAGCTGGCTTTATTTTAGGACCATTTGGTGGGAAGGAACTTTAAAATGTAGGAACCGGCGGGGGCATGGGGGGCTGGGGTGCGCGGACCCTGGGTGGCCCAGTCCGTTAAGCGACCCTCTTCCTCTCTGGTCAACATCTCGTGATTGGAGCCCCACGTCGGGCTCTGTGCTGACAGCTCGGAGCCTAGAGCCTGTTTCAGATTCTGTGTCTCCCTCTCTCTCTGCCCCTCCCCCACTAGCACTCTCTCTCTCTCTCTCTCTCTCTCTCTCTCTCTCCCAAAAATGAACATTAAAAATAATATTTTAAAAATAAATTTAGGATGGGATGTCAAACTCTGTTTTGACCAATGACTAATATTGACTCATCTAAGCCACTGTGGTCGCTTGGACCCACCCTGAGGCCTCCCTGCCCCTCAGCCTCCGGATACAACCTCGGCCCTCTCTCAAAGGCACTGGGACCACAAGAGCCAGTTGCAGGAGTCCCTGGTCCGTCTGGACTCTGACTCAGGTGTGTCCCATGCCTCAGTTTCCCCTGAGTGGGGTGGGGTGCCTTGGGAGGAACTGGGGGTCGGGATCAACACACCCTTGGGACTTTCTAAGGCAAAGGCAAACCAAATGCATGCCGAAGTCTCCTCACTGTCCTCTTCGGAGGAATTCAGAATCCCTCAGGGTCTTTGCCATCAGCCATCTGTTAGCAATCACACATGGACCCGTGACCATGTTACACACTGTCCAAAATGGGTGTATTGAGTCAGCTGTAAACTGGAACTGTCCTGGGCCACTTGGGACCGTGTGGATAGAATATCAGAATTTAAACTGTGCCTTTTAGATTCTGGGGGAAAAACCTAAATGCTAAAACAACTACAAAAACATACTCTGCAGAAACAATCAGGAATGAAATAGTTGGTCATTTAGAGGGATTAGGTCTCTGCTTTCAAAAGGGTAGGTGGACGTGGTCTGGGGGGCGGAACTGGCACCCGACAGCAGGCGGGCCCGAGGTGAGAGGCGTGTTTTTAGGTTATCCCAAGACATTTATGGTAGAAAGCTTATCATTATCTTCCTCTAAAACCAAGCAGGGAATTTGAAAACACAAACCCAGGGCAGAGTAAACCCCCTGGCTGCAGTGTTTCTGTTGGAAAAGATCGTCCCCTAGCGGGGTTGGGACGTCTGGCGGGAGGCTCGTGCAGGACCTCTAGGTCGTTCCCGTACAAGTTCCACAGGAAGCAGCACATCGTGTGCGAGAAACCTAAGCGGAGCCATCTGTCTGGTTTCTACAAATAAAGCCGGTGAGGCACAGCGCAGGTGGCTCGACGCCCCTGGGCACCTGTTGCAGGCAGGAGCTGGGCTGAAGCCGGGCAGCCAGTCAGGGCTTTTGTGAGGAAAAACCCGAGAACACGGGAGCGGCCTTTAAAAATGGGTGCTATTGGGGCACCTGGGTGGCTCAGTCGGTCAGGCATCCGACTCTTGGTTTTGGCTCAGGTCGTGATCGTGCAGTTTGTGGGTTCGAGCCCCACCTTGGACTCTTGTGCTGACAGCGTGGAGCCTGCTTGGGATTCTCTCTCTCCCTTTGTCTCTGCCCCTCCCCTGCTCTGTCTCTCTGAAAATAAATAAACTAAAAAAAAAAAAAAAAAAAAAAAAAAAAAAAAAGGGTGCTATCACGGTTTAGAGAACTGTACCTGGGGGGTTTTTGCCCCAGTGGAGAAGGTCCACCTAAATCACTGGCGCTCCCTCGCGGGCTCCGCCTGGCCGTGCGGGGCTGGTGACACGGCGTCCTCAGGGGATGTGTCCTCTGCCAGCCCAGGGCTTTCCCAACACAACAGGAACAGACTGGGGTCGGCGCGGCTCTTTGTTCTCTGCTGGGGTCTGAATGGGCGTGTGGACCTCGAAGAGTCAAAACGGAATCCTGTGCCTCAAGCCCGGTCTCCACACCCTCTGCCGGGTGCCTCCTTCCAAACCCCCGTCTTCGTGGCCCGGTTCCCCCCTCGCTCGCTGCACTTGACCCAAGATTCCGACGCGGGTCTTTTGACTCTGAGCCTCCGCCCTTTCCCTAGACCGTATGGGAGCACAAGGTGGGGGCCGGGGCCAGGCGGCCGCTGCTCTGAAGGCCGTTGCCTTCCCGTGAGGCTGCGCGCACACTCACACCTGCGTGTTCGGGGCAGGAGACGGACGCCCCGGTTCACAAGCAGCAGAGCTGGGGCCTGAGCCTCTGGTTGTCAGAGGCCAAGTCTGAGGCTTCTCCTTGTCCCACTCTGGCCCTCCCTGGGCCGCGTCAGGATAAATACTGCAGCACAGGCTGGAAAGAGGCTTTCTCGGGCGAGAGACCCCGGGGCACCTAGTGAAACGTGTGGACTCGCTCCCTGAAAACTACACAATCAAAATAGATTTTGCCGGGGTCCCAGGCTCCTGTGAGTGCACCCAGCGAGCGGGGACCCCCGGGACTAGGAACCGCAGGACATGAGGGGCCGTGCACCCCGTCGGGCCCATCAGCCCTGCTAACGCATCAACAGCCACTTGAAATGATGGAGACCGGAAGTCTGGCTGGTCAGATAGAAAAAGAGTGCTATTCTCAGCATGTAAAGGTTTTACACGCATTATCTAGCTTTATCATCGTAACAACCTACGGAGCAGCTACCGTTATTTCCTATTTTTCTAGTTGAGGCACGGAGACAAAGAGGTAAACCGAGGCACCTGATGTCACACAGCTTGGCCTTGGAGCTCCAACAGCTAAGGCGGCTCTGGAAAGGGGAGCGCATCTCTGGGGAGCCGGGCCTGGAGAAGGTGGCGTGGGAAGGGGCGGCCGGCTGGTGTTGCCGAGCGCTTTACCCCCTCCCCCTCCCCGTGATCTGTGTACTGCGTTCTTCTTGGAGGCTTCCTTGCTTTCTGGGCCGTGACCTTGTTCAAACTGAACCCCACGGGTCTCCCGTGTGTCACTGAGCTCTGGCCTGCCCACTGGCCCGCCGCCTTCAACACACCTTGACGGCTTCCAGAGTCTCCTGAAGAAAGGGCTCCTTTCTGACTTCTTCCTTTTTTTTTTAAGCTTATTTTTGAGAGCGAGAGAGAGAGAGACAGCGAGAATCCCAAGCAGGCTCCATGCTGATAGCAGGAGCTAGAACTCATGAACCACGAGATCATGACCTGAGCCGAAATCAGGAGTCGGACACTTCACCAGCTGAGCCACCCAGGCGCCGCTGACTTCTTTCTAAAGAAGTTAGTAGGCAGAACAGTCATGCATAGAAAGCCATGCTAGACTTACTTCCTTGAGTCTAGAAAAGAGGGCATTCTATCTCGGTTGTGCTATCATCGGGCATGTTTGGAGCCCTGTGGGCTGCTCCCCCCCCCCCCCCGGGAGCCCAGGACACTTGTAACGCGGTCTGGGGGTATGTGTGACAGGAACCCCAAGTACTGCAAGTAAGGGGCGTGCTTTCACGCTCACGGACCCACAGACCGGCTAAGCTGGACCACCAGGCTGCATGAAAGCCAGGCCTGAAGCCGGACTCAGAGATGAGTGGGTCCCGGGCCGGGAATGAAGCCAGGACGGACTCGTTCTCTCCTTTGTTTCCCTCCGTGCACGTTTTACTCGCGCAGACCCCCGGGTGAACGGGGAGGTGAGCTGTGGCCCGCGACAAATGCAGCGACGGCCCCACGGCTTCGGGAACGAGCCCCGGGGGAGCAGCCGTTGGTGGCGGGGCCATCCCGGTGGCCTGCGGAGCTCCCGTTCACTGTCGGGAAGGGTGGCCAGCACGGCCGGGATGACACGGTGACAGCACCAGCCCCCCCACCCCTCTCCACGCCTGCCCGTCCCCCGGCCCAGGACAGAGCAGTGACCTGCTGGCCGGCCTGCCCTCCCTCCTGACTGGGACGGGGCTGGACGGGGCTTAGTTTGTGAAAACCAAATGACCACGGAGCCAGTTAGTTGGTAACCTGCCCCTTTTTTGCATTTCAGTTTCCCTGGTGGTGCGACCTGCGCGGGGGGTGAACGGTTATGGGACCAGTGGGGCCACTGCCACCAGACTTTGCTGCAGGAAGTGAATCTTATTTCAGTCCTTAGAGAGAAGTGATCTCTTCGTAGATGTTTTCTCAAGTCCCTCCCTTACATGTGTCCTCGTGATCGTAATGCTTTCCGAGTTTAGACGGTTCGCACTTAGCAAACCGTGTGCAAGCCCTGACCCCATGACGGGAGCTTTGGAAGGCAGCGTTCGGCGGATGGTGACAGGGCAGGAGAAACCGGCACAGAACAGTGACTTCGGCTGTCGAAAGCCAGGACCAACCTCACGGGTCCCCACCACCTCTCCCGTGTGTCCCACGTGTCCCCTGGAAGGTCTTGCAGTGGGGAACGCGTTCCTCCCAAGCAGCCCGAACTGGAGTAGGCTGCCTTTGTCACCTTGTATCCTTGTTCATCGACACGGAGTTTTCTTCTAGATGCATCTGAGATAACCTCACACTCTTCTCAGCCAGCCGGCTAGCTCAGAAGTGAGCCCCCTTTTCTCTCCAAGCACCTGCCTCCCGCTACCAATGAGCTCGTTAACCCATGTGCTTTTGACTCACAGAAGCACATTAGGTTTTTTCGGGGTGGGGGTGGAGGGAGAGAGTGTGAGCTGTAAGCAGGCTGCACACTCAGCGCAGAGCCCGATGTGGGGCTCGATCCCACAACCCTGGGATTGTGACTTGAGCCACCCAGGTGCCCCAAAGCACATGAAGTTTTAATTCTTACACGTTTGCTCATTTGTTCCTTCAAAATCCTGTACTTGCCAATTGTTAGCACTTTTCAGTTTGTTCACAGGGAAATAACTTTGCGATGATGAGAGGGAAAATTATCTGTAAAATACCCGAATACTTTTTCTCTTGTAACATAGTCTTTGTTTAAACAATATAGCACAACATTTTAAAAACTTTTTTAATTTTTTTTTTTTTTTTTTTTTTTTACTAAGGCACATGACATATAGAAAGGTTGAGGTACAAAATGCAAATTTCTGCATAAGACTTTTAAAATAATCGTTTTGGAAAATGAAGGTGAACATCATCTTCCAGAATATTCAGCTTTTAGCTTGTTTTTTCTTTTGGACCAGTTCAACCAGCAACTTGTATCTAGCGATACAGTCTTCCTGCAGGAAGAGAAAAAGAGAGGTGAAACGGTTATTTCCACGGATCAGCGTGAGCGTCGTGGGCTTCAGCCGCGGCCTGTGCGGGGAGGCGGCCTCGTGAGCGTCTGCTCTGCCCACGGCCGGCCTGCAACCGGCTGGACGAGTCCCGCGGCCCGCACGCCGGGGCCCACGCACACCCGCCAGGGCCCCCGCCGGCCGGGGCCCACGTGCTGCCGGGTGCCCCCGGGCCAGCGGCAGTCCTGTGAGGTGCAGCGTGGGCCGCTGGCGTGAGGGGCCCGTGCTGCTGCGCGTGAGGCACACCACGGGCATCACGATGATGCCTCTCAACTCGCTAACGATAACGAGCAGCTTTCACATTTCACTGTCATCGCGCGTCCCGTCAGAGCAAGCGGACAACTTGAGGCCGGCCGGCCCCCCTGTTATTCCATCTGGGTCTGCCTCTCCTTAAGGGGCCGTGGGGACCCTCCTGTGGTGGCCGCGTCGGCCCAGCCCCCAGGACCATGGCGGGGAGTGCGCTGCCCAGATCCTGCCCGTAGCTGTGGCCACTGGGGGCGAGGAGTCGGGCCTAGAGCAGAGGCGGGCGGTGCCAGGGGGCCTCACGCTCTCCTGTCCATCAAGGGGTACTTTCTAGAGTCCGTTCCCGTTTCTGGCCAAGAGATACTCCCCTCCGTGCCGTTGGAAGCCTTCACTAACTTAAGGTCTAGGGCAACATGATCGCTGCTCCCTGGCAGATGCTTCTATCAGCCGGGGACACAGAGTGGGTGCTCATGCTCTTCCTAGGGTTCTAGCTCAGGAGTGGTATGAGGGATGCTTCTAGAAGTGCCTCTCTGGATCCCCAACGATCACGCGCATGGGGTCAGTCTTTAAAATACCAGCCTTTTCTTAATAGCTGTGCTGCCCACTGGTGAGGCCCCCGGGCATGATGCGGGGACTTCACCGGGGACCACGGCGACCCAGAGCGCTGAGCCGCAGGCCTCAGGCAAAGTCTCCTCCTTCAGGCCCAGCATCGCCAGCGGCTTGCAGGCCACGTATAGGGACTCGCTCCCTAGCAGACGAGTCAGCAGGCCACCTCTCCGGGAACTGGTTCCAATGTCAAGGCTTAAGGGGAGCACTTGTGGGACAATAAAAGGGCTGCTCGTGTCTGTTTCCAACGGGAGGGTTTCCAAACCCCGAGGCAGTGAGTTTCTGAATGTTCTATCCTTAGGAATCCACGGTTCCAGCTCCTTCATTTTAAGCCAATGTCAATTCATCACACATGTAGATGCCTGTGTCCTGACAGATGCTAGGGAAATTCAGGGAAAATAATTACTTCTGGCAAACCAGTTGGAGAGGCTGGGAGAATCTGTGTTTCTCAAATAGATCAACTGCTAATGGTTTATTTTTCTCCCCGGGAATTCTCAACTTCATCATTTTAAAGTAGGTGATAGATAACTAGACCTGTACACACGGGGACATTTATGGCCACAAGCTAGATTTTCCAACATAGAATTTCAATTAAAAAAAAATAAGAATGTAAATGAACATCAATGTGCCCAGAGGCTACTGAGTGACAGGCACAGGAGGCAGAAGAGACTCGTTCTTCTGATTTCTCCGCGTTCCTTGGTGCCTCAGACTGAGAGTATAGCGAGGAGGGAAGAAACTCAGGAGATGGTGTGTGTTTCGAGAAAGGCCCGGGTGGGAAAGCTCACACCGTGAGCCCCGCAGCATGAACTGGCAGACGGAAGGCAAAGGCTGGGGTGAGCGCTGGCTCTCTGTGGGGCACCCCGTCTGCCCGCCTAGCTGGGAACTACCTGTGGGGGTTTGTAAGCAGATACCGAGAGCCGAAAATGGGGAAAAGACTTAAAGTACAAACAGTCAAGGCTACAGGGTGGGTTGAATCCTAAATGTCATCCCTGCCCGGGCCCCCACCCCCGCCGCCAGGGCCTCGCCAGTCTGGTGCAGCTGCTGAGTCCAGAGTGATGTGCACTGTGGACCCGATGAGCAGCATGACACGGGCCGCCACGCGCTCGCCCTGGGGTAAATACGGCTCCTCGCAGAGCTGGAGGGAGACCTCCCCCGACTCTGGTTCAAGGGAGCCTCCGCCCGAGGGAGGGCCTGCCGGCCGCCAGGGCTGCTCCCGCTGCCCCAGTGATGAGGGTGCGGCCCAGCCACCCCCGTGCTCCTCAAACTGCCAGACTGGGGCGAATGCTCCAGAAGGTTGGCGGGCTTGTTGTGGGTGAAATTTATCCTCTATGCATGGGATTTTCTGAGGAAAACCAACCGGTCTGTATGGTCTCCTTAGAATCTTGACCTCATTCATGCACACTAATCAATCCGGTGCACAGACTGACCACGCTCTTAGAAGTGCACCGGACGGTCACGCAGACAGCTGTCGCTAGAGGGGTGTGCGTGAGGTGGGGGATTAGGTGGAGCTGGCCGCGCAGGTCTCGTTCTTCCCCCGCCTCACCCACCTTACTCTTAGACGGGACACATTTGGCTATTTTGTCCCAGCGGTCCGAAGATCCCTTTGGGTACTGCTGTAATGCTAATTCCAGAAGCTTCTGTTGACTCTGAGTCCATGGCTCCTCGGCAGCACGAGTTCTCTCTTTCTTCTGGCTCTCCTCATCACTGGATTCGTTTTGTTCGGAAATATCGAAGTCCTTCTGCCTCTTTCCTCTGAACTTCTCCTCGGGCTCCACCCTTGTTGCCGCCTCAGGCGGCCTGGCCGGCCTCCGCCTCCGTGGCCGGCTTTCCGGAAGCACTGCCTCCTGCTCGTAGTCATCTTCCTCCTCCTGCTCGTCCTCCTTGTCTTCCTCCCCGGCCTGCCGTGCATCTTCTCGCTGGGTGATGATGTCATCTGGCAAGGCCGTGGCGGCCCTGGTGGGCCGGAGATTCTGGGCTGTTGACTTGAGTTCGGAGAGTCTGACCATTCCTGTGAGGAAGGACACACTTTATCACACAGATGGAATGGCAAGGTCAGTGCAGGTGACAAGAGTAACAGCGGCTGTCACCAATACAGCAGTGTGGTAGGCGCTGTGCACCTACGATTCTGCTTAATTTTCACGCTGTTCTAGAAAGATAGGTGTCATTATCCTAATTCTACAGATGGCAAAAATCAGTCTCAGAGAGCAGCAGAGGTGGGATTTGAACCCAGTTCTGTCTGATTCTTTGTCCTTTGTCCTTTCCGACGCTCTGAGGGACTGAGGGCCACGTACAGAATCAGGTTGTGGCCAAAGAATGCAAAGTGGCTCTTTGACACTTTTTAGATAAGGAAGGATGTTCTTTACGATCCAGAACTGGGACGACTCATTCCATTAGCGGAGCTAAAATGGATCTGTCTAAACTCGCGCTGTGCTCACACCATTGTAGGTGAGCCACCAACGCTGTGGGACATGCTGTCTGCTCCAAGCTGCTTCCAGTGCCACTGTGCCACCACGTTGGCCAGTAAAGAGCAAACGGACTGGCTCTCAGGCGCCATCTCAGGGATGCCCCTGAATGTTCAACCATACGTCTCCTGTTCTGGTCACTTTTTAACCCCCCGCCCCCCCCAATGCTCTAGTAAGATCCCTATCTGTGCCACAGTCTACACCACACTGCCTTTTCCAGAATACACAGAGTGTCTTGCAGGAAGGCCTTTTCACATGGCCTCTCACTGCCCATTTTAGCCTCTGTGCCAACAAAGAATTGTGTTCGCAGAACAGGAATCTGGAAATGCCTTCTTTCCTGAAGCCGGCAGAGCCCCACATTGAATCCCTGCTGGGGACGGCTTTTTGAGATCTCCGGGTTTGCTCACCTGCATTGCTGTCTTTGGGACTTGTATTTAAATTAAGTTAGAAGGTTTTAGGAAGTATTCTCTTCCTGGTTCCAGGCAAACAGTATGGAGACTCTAGCAAAATTCCAGTTAGTCTTGGAGGAAACATATTTTGAGAAATGTGGGTTCTTGGGAAAGCTGCCGGTCTATTCTGAAAGACGGCTCCGTGTGCGTGGGGCTGGCAGGTGGACCGCGTGGGGGAGCCGTGTACCGCACGTTTGTGTGGCATCCAGAGGGTTCCCCCCTGCGTGCCCCTCCCCCAGTACTAGCAAAGAACTAGGTTTTTAGGGTTTTTAAACTTTTCAGGTCCATCTTAGCACCCACCCTTACAAAAAGGGATTTGTGTGGGAGAAGTCACTTCAGCTCAGTGGGGTGAAGGGGGCACTGACTCACCTGGGGAGCAGGTAACTGAATCCTTCAGTTGCTTGGCTTTGGTTGTCACCTGTTCCAAAATATAAAGGCAACGAAATCTTACTTTCCACATATCTCTTGTAGGTCAAGTGACCTATTTCACGCAAGGTCCATGTGAACGAACCGGGTTTACTGAATCTTCGGCCTAGAAGGACCCTCGTTCATCCATCCACTCATTTAGTTAAGCAACAAGGAAACTTTTGTTTGAGTATCATAAACGGTGGAGAAATTCAACTAATGTTTTAACATAAAAGTCTGTCTTTTCTTTGCATTCAAGAAACCACAAGAGCATAGTAGGCTAACGCGAGAAGAGTAGGAAGAAGAAAATACTTCTTAACACAAGGCCCACGAGACGTACGTACATGAGTGAGGGGCCACAGAAAGAGTTTCGTTCGGTCGCTGTTACTTCTTTGTTCTCTGTATAAATGGTATCACATCATTTGTCTCGTTCTATACCTTGCTTTTCATTTAGCAATGTCTTGGAGATCCACATATGGATTTCTTTTTAAATTGATATAAAATTTACATACAATTCAATATACAGATTTTAAATGTACAATTCAATGGGTTTTGACCCCCCCAAAAAGGACCTATATAACCATTCTAATTCTAATCAAATTATAGAACATTCCTGTTATCCCAGAAAGTTCTCTTCTGCCCTTAAGTTAATCTCTACTCTGCCACTGACAACATTGTTCTGATTTCTTAAAATACAGGATCAAAATTAATTAAAAAAATTAAAAATGGTTGATTGCCCAATGAATTTTCAATCAAGCCATCCTTTCCCCACTTATTCGAAATGTTAACTTTAGGGGCGCCTGGGTGGTTCAGTTGATTAAGCATCTGACGTTGGCTCAGGTCATGATCCAGCGGTTTGAGTTCGAGCCCCGTGTTGGGCTCTGTGCTGACAGCTCAGAGCCTGGAACCTGCTTCGGATTCTGTGTCTCCCTCTCTCTCTGCCCCTCCCCTGCTCACGCTCTGTCTCTCAAAATAATAAATGAACATTAAAAAAATTAAAAAGAAATGTTAACTTTATTAAAATTAGTGCCACTGTATACGTGAACTATTTTTCTACACTTTGTATTCTATCCCATTAATGCATGCATATTCTTGAATCAATGTTTCGCTGCTTTAATGAGATTTGAAAATAAAACCTCAGAAAGCCTGATTGCTAAGAACTCAGGTAGACTCATCTTGGTCCCACCTCTTCTTAGCTGGGTGATCTTAAGCAATTTCCAATCCTTTTTCTGTGTCAAGAATTACCCTCTGTAGTATGTGGATAATGCTAGTAATACCATTTGCCTATTAGGTTTTAAATTTGAAATAAGCTCTTAGCAGGATACCGAGCAGATATTCAAGTCTCAGTAAATACTACCTATTATAATTGACATGGGTCATTTGTTTTTCATTCATACAAAGGGCAGAATTAGAGAAAATATTTAAAGCCACTTAGAAACACTCTTCAATTTTATTCCCTACCTTCCTCTCTTTCCAGATGACCTTGTTTCTTATTCAATGTGAGAAAAAAGGAACATGATCCAACATGATCCTCCTTGCCTTCCAACTTTCTCAACTCAAAATTCTGATTACATCACTTTCTATCCTTCCTATCTTTTATCCCAAATCAAAGAAATTATCTTCCTTCCTCTTGAATTTTCCCATAATTATGCTCCATCTATTAATTTCCTTTGCATTCTTTCTTTTTTTCTTTTTCTTTTTTTAACGTTTATTTACTTTTGAGAGAGAGGGAGAGACAGAGTGTGTGCGAAGGGAAGGGCAGAGAGAGACACACACAGAATCGGAAGCAGGCTCCAGGCTCCGAGCTGTCAGCACAGAGCCCGACGCGGGGCTCGAACTCACGAACTGGGAGACCATGACCTGGGCTGAAGTTGGACGGTTACTGACTGAGCCACCACGGCGCCCCTAATTTCCTTTGCTTTCATCTTCACCTTCTCCCTGTCCGTCAGCTGTGTCCCATGATTCTTCACGCTGAGCTCAAGTGGCCTCCACTCCAGAAAGTGATCTTCCCTTAAGCTGTCTTTTCTACTCCTTTTGGCCTTCTCTTTCTCTGAATGTTCCTTCACTGCCCATCCCACCCCGCCCCCCATATAATGCTCCTCAACATTCCATCCTTGCCATTCATATGTTCTTTCCATTTTCTCCGTTGGTATCTCATGCCACTGGTTCAGTAACACTTTTGAAAAGGAATGATTAACCTGTATGTCTAGCCCTGACCTCTTCCTGGGAGTGGCAGTATAACAGAATTGACCACATAGCAACAATGGGTCATCAGATCGAAAGGGCCTTCGTCTACATAGCAATAAGCTTTCTTTGTACCAAGCGTTGTTCTAAGATATGTGTCTGTACAAATATTCCTCACAGCAGCCACAGTAGGTAGGTATGTAATATTACCCCCATTGTACAGAATCCGAGGCTCACAGGGCATAGAGAACATACGCAAGATTAAAAGGCTAATGGGTAGCTGAACACAGACAAGTTGGGTTCTGAAATCTTGTCTCTCAGTCCCTGTAACATGCTGCCTTTGGAATCCAAATCTCTTGTTGTATAGATGAGGACATGGGCGATGCTCCCCTTCCGCTCTGCTACGTGACTGCCCTCTTTAACTGCCACTGAATCTCTTATTTAGCGATCTCCTAGTTCCTCAAACCAAACTAACCGACTTGTCTGCTTTTGCTTCCTTTTCTTGATAGAACTGTCATCCCAGTCACCCAGGCTCACGACCCGAGTCCAGTTGTGGACCTTTGCCTCCCGCCCCCGCCAGCTGCTACACGCTCCACAATGTCAACCCCGTCTGTTCCCTGCTCACAAATCACACCTCCTCTCTTAGTTCTTCATTCTCCCGTGGCTGGATGAATGTAACAGCCTTCTAACTGGACACCTACTTACCAATAATTTTTATAGATTAATACCCCTAAAGCAGAGTTCTGATCAGATTCCTTTCATGGCGCATCACTGATTATGTAATGTTTAATTCTTAACCTGACATGCAAAGAGATCCACAATTTGTGGTCTGTTCTCTTTCCTGTGGTAGCTTTCCTTTGAGCAGAACTGAATAATTAATGCTCCCCCAGACAGAAATTTCCCTACCCTGTACTTTTTGCCATCCTTAACATTGCCTGAAACGATTTTCCTTTCTTCATCAACCCTCCCCTTAAATATCTCTCTCTAGAGCCAAACCATCCTTCAAGGTACTCTCAGGTGTAACTTTCTTCTTGAAGACTTCCTGGTGTTCACTACCAGGGTGACCAACTCTGGTGACAATTAATCCTTCTTCTCTCTCAATTTCTATTGTGTTTTTTAAAGATTTAATTATCTTTTTCTCTTTTGTCACATAGTTCTATGAATTTTATTTATTTATTAAACTTGAGAGAGAGAGAGAGAGAGAGAGAGAGAGAGAGAGAGAATGAGTTCGAGCAGGGGAGGGGCAGAGAGAGAGGGAGAGAGAGTCCCAAGCAGGCTTCACATCCTCAGCGCAGAGCCCATTGTGGGGCTAGATCTCACAAACCTGCGAGATCATGACCTGAGCTGAAATCAAGAGTCAGACGCTTGACTGAACTACTGAGGCACCTTAAACACACTCAGAGAGGTTCAAGTAACTACCGCCACATCTAAGATGTGAGATAATTCTCTTTTTTCTTGGACTTGTTTTCTTATTTAACAAAACATTTTGGAGATTATTACAGAATAGTACACAAAGATCTTTTTTTTTTTTTTTTTAAATAGCTTAACTGAAATGTCATTCACATACCATACAATTCACCCACTTGAAGTGACAATTCAGTGGTTTTAGTATATTGGTATGTATAACCATCATCATGGCCAACGTCAGAACATTTTTATCACATCGGAAAGAAGTGCAGTACCCTGTAGGTATCGTCCTCTGTTCTCCCCCTCCTACCCCGTCACTCAGCAAGCAATAAACAACCATAAATCTACTTTCTGTCTCCATAGCTGTTCCTGTTCTGGGCTTTCATATGGATGGAATCATATCATGTATAGATTTTTTTGTGGCTGGCTTCTTTCCCTTAGGGTAATGTTTTCCAGGTTCATCCACGTTGTAGTATATATGAGTACTTCATTCCTTTTTGCTGAATAATATTCCACTGTATGAATATACCACATTTTGTTTATCCATTCATCATTTGATAAACATTTGTGTTGTTTTAGTCTTTCTGGCTATTATGAATAATGCTGCTGTAAACATTTGTGGATATGTTTTTGCTTGGGCAAACTGTTTTCATTTATCTTGGGTATATACCTAGGAGTGGAACTGTGGAGACATATGGTAATTCTATGTTTAACTTTTTGAGGAGCTGCCATACTGTTTTCCAATATGGCTGTACCATTTTATATTTACATCAGCAGTGTATGACGCTTCTGATTTTTCTACATCTTGGCAAACATTTGTTATTATCCAACTTTTTGATTCTAGCCATCTTAGTGGGTGTGAAGTAGTATCTTGTGCTTTTGATTTGCATTTCCCTAATGACTAATGATACTGAGCATTTTTTCATTGGCCGTTTTTATAACTTCTTTGGAGAAATGTCTATTCAGATCCTTTCTCCACTTTTTTAAAAATTTGGGTTATTTCGCTTATTATTTAGTTGTAAAGAGCTCTTTATATATTTTGGATAAAAGCCCTTTATCAGATAAATGATTTGCAAATATTTTCTCCCATTCTGTGGGTTATCTTTGTACTTTCTTAATGGTGTCCTGTGAAGCATGGAGTTTTTAATTCTGATGAGGTTCAATTATAGTTTTATAATTTTATAGTTTTTAATTATAGTTTTAGCTCTTATATTTATGGTAATATTGCTATCTTGACAATTAAGACTTCTGATCCATGGACAGGGGATATTTTTCCACTTCTTTTGAACCTCAGTTTCTTTCAACAGTGTTTTGTCATTTTCAGAGTTTGTACTTCTTTTGTTAAATTAATACCTAAGTATTTTATTCTTTGTGATGCTATTTATGAATGAAATTATTTTATTAATTTAATTTTCAGGTTGT